GAGGCTGCTGTAGGGTTTTGCTGGATGCCAGAGAAGCTGCTCTGCTCTGCGCTGCTGCTGGCAGAGAGGGGAGGGGTGTCCAAGTGTGACTTTCGCCCCGTGCAAGGGGGGGTTGTCTCTGAAGAAGACCGCTCTGCTCTCTCCCCAGAGCCTCTCTGACAGCACAGACCCACCGGCAGAGAGGACAGGTCACAGGCAGTGAGTATCCTTGTCTCTGTGTCTGTCTGTCTGTCTGCAGTGCCTCCCTGTTCAGTTTTTTCTGGCTTTCTCTGCATGTGAATGGATGGGTTTAACCTCTTGAAGCCCCTGAGGTCTCATGGTTTTGTTTTTCTTTATTCTTTTTACCTTTGTGCTGCTAATTTTTTCTGCTGGGATGGCTTCTTTATCTTTGCTCAGGTGATCTCCTGGGGTGGTTTGATAACCTGAATGTCATAATCCCACCCCTCCCTTTCTGCCTCCCAAAGGAGAATCCCCAAAACACATCACTGATGAGACCGGCAAGTCTCCTTGAACAGGGACCTTTCGTAGAGGGAGAGGTCGGATGAATGATGGAGCAGGAGGCAAAAATAAACCCCTCACCATGCACCCTTACTGGGATGCCTTTACCACATGGATTAAATTTCCTAAAGTCGTAATTGACTGCCTTTATTTGCGATCGGAGGAGATATCCGTTAGGGATGTCAGCCTAGCACTGGGATCGCCTTCACGGGAAATATAGGTCTCGGCATCCATGAAGTCAGCCGGACTTTGGGATCACAGGGAAGTTCGGTGCTTGCTCAGCTGTGCAGGTTGTTGTTGCGGGGGCTGGCAAGAGGGTGGGAGCGGGGGCGAGCGTAAAGCTGTTTCGTAACAGCACCCCAAAAAGCAGGCTGCTGGAGGAGGCTGCGAGGGAGAGGGCACCTGGCTCCACTTCCAGCCATCACTTTGGAGCGGCAGTGGGAAAGAGGGAGTAGGGGCTGCTGGACTCCAGGAAATCATGTGCAGTGGCCCCACATGCAGGAGAGGCTGTTAATGAGGAAATTTAAAGGGGCTTAAGGAATTACAAGGATTGATTTCAGTTAAAGCGCATCGAAGCAGCCGGTCAGGGTAGGGATTAAGGAAATGCACTCACTGGCATGTAGTGCAATCCCAGTTCCATTAATTTAGTTGGGAAGAGGCTTTGTGCATTTTTAATGTAATCAGGTTTTAAAAGGGATGTCGCGATGGGCAGCCCAAGCTCTGGGATCTCCCCAGGCCCCAGCAGAGCAGGGTCCTGGCTCCTTCGCACACAGTCTCTGCTCTCATCAGTTCCTTTGTCTCCTCCTCAGTTGTTCCCTCTGGACATGGAGGTTATCTTGGCCCTATCCTGGGAAATAACAAACCTTTACCCTTTGCTCACTGTCCCACCAGTCTCCAGGCTGGTGGACCTCACCTTCACTCTCTGGTGTGAGATTTGTTCAACCAGCTGCCTGCGTACCAAAGCTCATGGGGACCTTCCCTCCCTCCTTCCCTCCCCTTTCCAGACTGTGCATCTCCTTGGCAGTTCCCCGCAGGCTCCCACCACCCCAAAGACAAGGTGCTTTCTTTGAGTTATTTTGGTGTGAGTGCTTGAGCCTGTGATGGTGAAAGGACCAGTATCTGCAGACGTGTGAAGTCCTCCTGTTATTTTATTTGCAGTGCCAGCTTTTCCATGATGCCTGGCCAGTAACATCAGCCATGACCTGGAGGGACAGGGACAAGAGGTAGTTTGGTCTTCTTAGCGAGGTCAGCCCGGAGCTCTGCCTGTTGAGGAGAGACCTTCAGAGGTGTTGAATGATGAGTGCAATAATGCCAACTCCTGCTGCTCCGTGGTGAGCTGTGACGCCAAACTCAAATCACTTTAGATCCGAAGCTGGACTTAACCTGCGGTCCTGGTCTTCGAAGGAAATGCTCTCTCTCCTCTGTGATCATCCCTCAACTCTGAACGTCTTCCATTGAAAACTCAACCTTCCACGCTAGGAGGCAAGGATCAAATGGGTTGAGAACGAGGATTCTGTGATATATTTTTAAGTGCCAGGACATGAAACAGTAAATCCCTCCTTTCCGCACTCCTGCCTCCTGCCAACAGCCCCGACTGCTGTCCAAGCCAGCCAGTTAAAGGGTTAACTATAACTGGATGCCTGAATGGCTGCCTTACTGATCCCACGGAGGTAACTGAAAAGACATGATGCATCTCTCACCCCTGCCCATCCTGTCGCTGTCTACCCCATCCAGCGAGCCTTTCGGCTTGCTGCAGTGTTCCCTCTTCCCTCCTGCCCTTCCCTTGCCTCTCCGCCTCCTACGGACCCGTTTTCTTTCCCTCTTTTTCTCCTGTGTCCTGTCTTGAAGTCCGCAGCTAGAGATGGGTGTTCGGTGAGAGACAAGCTCCTCGCTCGTGGTGCGGCATCTCTGTCCCCCGTACGCTCTGATCCCCTGCTGCGGTCCCTTGATCTCGGGCATCAGAGGGAAATCTGAGCAGCACTGCGGTAATGCATGTCACACCTCTGGCTGAGAAATTCGTGGGCTTGCTAGAACAAGCGGTGCACGGAAGACAAAGGTAGGGGGCAGGAGGTGTCAGGAAAGGTACCAGAAAGACCCTGTAGCAGTCCCGGTGTCTGTCTGAGCACGGCAGGTGCAGCTAGGAACACGACACTTTGCAAAGGGTGGGTTTTTGCACTGATGTTTGAGGTTTGTCTAGCGTGGCATCCCAAGACCACCGGCCGTGGGTCCATATTTTGAGGCTGTGCAACAATTCCTGCGACCGAAGATCTCCAGGTTTTTGTGCCCGTTAAATGCTGCGAGCTGCCTGTGCTGCACCAGGGAGACACTCGTTGCATTTAATTAACATTTAATTTGCTTTAAGATTACATTAAAATGTGCAGTAATAGAAACTCTCCGAAGGGCGGGAGGAGAAAGGGGGAAACAGGCGTGTTACAGATTGGCTCAGTCGCTGGTGCTGAAAGTGTTCTGCAAGAATTACATATGGAAGGGAAAAACACGCTGCTTCCCTCTGCAGCCATAGAAAGTATTTGGCATCTCTTTGGCAGTAGGGCTTGGAGAAGGGCTTTCTCCAGCATGGAAGTGGGTCCAGCAGCTGAGAAGTGGCGACTGGGTTGCTAAATCCTCCTCCCACAGTCCTGAGGAGAGAATGGCCTCCTTCGACGTCTGCAGAATCTGGTAGAAGAGATGCCCTTGGGCTGGGGAGGCAAATCACGGGCTCTGCCCTTCTAGAGACCATGTAAAACCATTACCTGGCTCCTGTACGTGTTTGAGAGGGCGCGATGCCAGTCCCATATAATGCCTGTGTGTGTTGTGTTTCCCTTTGTGTTCCTCCCCGTCCCGGGGTTATGTAATGAAGGATGCTGTGGATGCGCCGGCTATCCTGGGAAAAGGACTGGCGAGGATGCGAGGGGACGGCGGAGGAGCGAAGGCTCTGGGGCTGGTTTGAAATTTAGGGGAAAAGAGCAATAAAGCCATTTTTCTGCCTCAATAAGCCTGTCAGGAAAGAAGCAGTTTTAGCCTGCTTATGTAACCCCGAGTCTAAAGGAGCTGCTTGGGATGCCGGCCGGGGTCTCACGGATCCGCAGCACAGGCTCACCTTGCAGGTGTCTTGCTCCCTCTCTTCTTCCTCCAGCCCCCTCCTGCCCTCAGGCCCTGGTATTTGTGCTGGTTTTGGCCGCTGCTGGGTTGCGGTGACCGATTTCTGGTATTGCTGCCCCTTGCTCTCCTCCCACACCTGACCAAAGCGGGTCCTTCCAAGAAACCGTCCCAAAGCGCAGCCTTTAAAAGCCTTTTTGCCAGCCAGAGGAGCTGAATGACGGCTGTGGGTGAGCCTTCAGCTGCCCTGGTGCTGTGTCCATCCTTAGCGTCTGCTCGGCACCTTCCTGGAGGTGTTTCAGGGTCCCTCCCATGGGTGAGGGAACTGAGGACACAGGTCTGATGAGGCACAAAGCCACTGAGTTTTTTTTCATTTTGGTTGGTTTTGGTTTGGTTTTTTTTTTTTTGCCACTCTGGCTAAACTTATAATCGTCATCTTCTTTGGTTTTCCCCTGCTCACACCCCTGCTCCCCCACATCGACCACAGGAACAGAGGGATGAGGACTCGCCTGGGCTGCCTGTCTCACAAATCAGACTCATATAATGATTTCACAGCTATTCTTCCGGACAAGCCCAACCGGGCTTTGAAGTGAGTATAGCTGCAGCATCCCACCCTGACCCCACTGCTATCCTTCTCCTCCCTGCCCACCGCCCCCTCTAGTATTATTTTCCTTTTACTCTACTTTGTTTAAGCTTCGAGCAGTTCTTTTAGCTACAAGGAAGGAGCAAAACAGAGCTGACACAGCAGGAACAGCCTCAGAAAATACCTGCACCGTTGACACGAGTTCTCCTGTGAGATGGGACGTGGCACGGTCCCCGCTGCTCTATGTGGGACATATCTGCACCTATTTGAAAACATAATTTACCCCTCTGACATCACAAATCAAAGTCTGAGCAGTTGACTCAGTATAAGAGGCGATCAGCAATTTCAGGTCACAGTCCTTGTTAGCGCAACTCCTTCTTATTAAACACAACCAGAAAGTCTGACATCAGTTTGCAGAACGCTTCAGGTAGATGCTTCAGAGTCCTGATTTGAGATGAGTGGGATGGGATTCATCCGATCACAGGCCAGTGCTCACACCGAGGCTGAGTCTAACCTTCCCCTTAAAGTCAGGAGCGAGAAATACGCACTTCTGCAGGGGTGGGTGTCAATCCACTTAACTTTTGGCATCTACAATGTAAATGTCTACATCTGAACTTGTTCCCTGGGCCTCTGCTTAGGGTCAGCATGTTAAAATTTGTCCCTTTTCGGATGTGATTCATCCGACCTATTTCACCTGCCTACCTGGGGCTGTGAGGTGAAGAGAGCCAAGTCCCTGCAAGGGCCCTGGTATCTCCTCACTGACTCGAAAGGGAGCCCAGGGTGACTTTCTCACCTGGAGAACTCCACATTGTAGGCCTCCAAGGTTAGGTGAGAAGGATCCAGCCTTCCTCGGTGTCCTCGTCCAACAGCCGCGAGAGGGGATCACCAGCCATGGGCTGTCTGTAACTTGCCTCTCCCTTTCTTTACAGAAGACTCTCAACGGAAGAAGCCACAAGATGGGCAGACTCTTTTGACGTCCTGTTGTCCCATAAATGTGAGTAGAAATCAAATTCTACTTTTTTTTTTCTCTCTGCTTGTACCCTTAATACTGGTTGTACTAGGGCAAACAGAGGATGCGTTGCGTTGCGTAGCACAGGAGCGGTCCCTTGGGTGTTTGCTACCCGTTAGGCAGCGGTCTCAGTTTGTTTATAGGCAGGATTCACTCCCTCCCCCTTTAACCAGAGGATGCGTTTCTGTGGTTCTCTCCCTGGCTTTGCTCTTGACTGGGTGATGACACTGATAAAGCCATCATCCCAAGGTCTCCAGCCGTCCCCAGCTCCTGGGGATGCACCGGAGGCAGGACTCCAAGGCTGTAGCTGTGCGTAGCATCCTTTGGCAAGTTCCCCTGGGTCCAGTCTTTCCACACAAGCAAATGGCAGGTTCCCAGCTGGCTTAAAGCCCTCTGGGATCCGGGACACCGGCTTGTCTCCCTCTGCCTCCAGCTGCTCCTCGGAACCACCGTGCAGCTATGCCGCGTGGAAGCGCAGCCTTTCCTGGGAGTGCTACGACACAACAGTGTGTATGTGGTTCAGTAACCCTCAACAGTTTGCTCAGTAGCGGAGAAAACACACGTGGTAGCCCTTAGCAGGACCTAATTTACAGTTACCAATGCAAACCTGAAAATTTCACCCCCGGAAACCTTGTGCAAACATATAATCAGTGCACCTCGCTCCGTTCAGTAGATCAATCCCGTCAGTTTTGTTCGGCAAATATTATTCTGCTTCACCGACGTTTTCATGCTGAGAAATCATAAAGAGGACAGCGAAGTTTGCAGTGTAGGTTCGTTAATGTGTTTGTACTGGAGAATTGAACAGGAGCGAGTCGAGGTTGGGGAGAAGTCAGTTGGGGTGGACTGTTCTATTGCAACAAGAAGACGTCTGGTTTTCTTGCAGATTAATTTCTTTTCCGCACTTATATTTTAAAATGTACGTGCAGAATGATACTATTATTTTAAATAAAGTGCAATTTTGCTGGATTTCTGCTGAGATGACAACAGTTTTGGCAGGGAATTAAGTGACGACTTACACAGGCGGGCTGTCCAAGGCAGAAAAAGCAATATATAATTTTAGCAGCAGTATCTTGTTGAGATCATTGCTCTTGCAGCCAGTAGGGGAAAAAAAATAATGGTGGAACTGGGTATGGCTAGGAGGGAACATTTCTTTTGTCAAAATTCAAAACCAGAAGGGAAAAAAGCACCAAAGAGACTATGGGGTGTCTGGGGGATGGGGAGAGAGAGGGACAGGATACTCACATCGGTGTTACAATTCGGTACTCGAGTCCCTGTTCCTCCTTCACCAGTGCAAAAGTCAAATTTTTCCTCATTAGATACAGACTGCAGCAAAAGTGCTTTGGCTCCAAAAGCCAGTGAATTTACGGATCTATGTACTGACATTATACAGACTGTTCCCTCTTCAGTTGACTGCTGCGAATGCTAAATCAAACCCCAGTTCAATTATTTCATCCAACAGCCTCCACAGGAGCGTCTGTTTTTATTAATAAATTAGTCTTATAGAGTGATAAATGAATTATCAGAATTTTTCCTGTCTCTGGAACAGCAAGTAATTCTGATAACTCTCTGGCACCTAATAAAAAATACTCAGTTCCTAATAGCAACAGAAGGTGATCTTTAGAATTTAAATTAATAGTGGGTTTTTTTAATCAGCAGTCACGGTGACATTGACTGGTGATCAGTGACAAAACAAAAAAAAAAGTGTTGTTTAATAAACTACTTTCTAAAGCAATATATTACAACTGTTCTGCACCTGAAGTTTCTGGAATTGCTAGCCCGGCAGCCAAAGGCTGTAACGATGCAAATACAAAAAAACCCCATTGAAATTAAAGTGTTATTTTGGTTTAAAGGCGAGAAGGGTGTGTATCCATAAAGGGAACTGCCTTATAAATTCATTGTGGTTTCGCTTATGAATACTCGTATCCAAAATGCAGAAGAATTAGCCAAAGATCTGCTATGAAAACAGGAGAGTTGCATTTTTTGCCGTTAGAAACGTGTGCTGATGCTAAGAGAGCCTTGTGCCTTACCCGACCAGAATTTCAGCGTAAGAAAAGGAGTGCCTGGCTTGCCTGCCTCGGTCTGTAGTAAAGCTGCCAGCTAATACTCCGTTTCCAGCGCCAAGAGGACAAAACCGTCTCAGTCCAATTTCTCTGTGACTGCCCAGGTGAACAGTATTGGCCAGGCAAAATCTGAATTCATGCTTGGGAGCATGGACTAAGCACCGGGGAATTCCCCCTGGGGCTCACAGCATCAGCAGGTAGACCGCTTCTGCTCGACACCTCTGTCGTGGATTCCTTCCTCCCTAGGTGGATGGTTCATCTGTTCTGGAAGGGAGATTGCAATGCTGATTTCAGGGGGTCGAGTGATGCTTTCTGCTGTGGTCGGATCTTACAGTGGTTTTGGATCCCTTCCAGACTGTTCTTTGATGGGGGGGGAAACCCCCAGAGTGCTCAATTAGGACTCAGGAGCTGGATGTAGCAGCTGAAAATGGGGCAGTCTTTTATGGGTAATACTGCAAAGGGTTGGACAGATGCAAGAAAGAGCTCCAAGGAGCAAAAAAGTAAATCAGAGCTCCCTAAAAGGCTCCCTAAAAGGCTCCCTGAAGCGCCAAGGTGAGCAGGCTGCCCTAGGACACGGAGGAGGCTCGCAGGGCTGCGGTGCTCTTCATGGGAAAGGCAAACAACTTGTACTCTTCCCCTTCCTATTTTGATGATTCGCCAAATGGAAGTGACCTGAACAGATATTATGCATTATACACTCTCTGGAGAGTGTCATTATGCCCATTTTTGTAAGCTATCCCTTGAAGTGTGATGGCCCTGTGGAGCTCCCTATTCCCTCTCCTCCCATTGTTTTAATGAATGATGTCTGTAGGTAATGTTTGATCCTGACATGCTACTTCTGGCAGCATCCTGAGTGGAGTGTTGAAAATCTCTCAGGTTTTGAAGCAGTTCCATGTCTCCGGAGGTTCCCAGGCTGGGAAATGTCCCTCTGTGTGGAGTGGTCTGGTTTGGATTAATTCCCCGGTCATTTAAAGAATAATTTATGTTGACATTAGCAAGAGACTGTGAGTAGGAAAGGCAGAAAGGTGCTCTCTGTCACACCCTCATCTTCGTTTGCACTGGCTTTGGGACTTCAGCGTCCCCCAGCCTAGCCCTCTTGGAGTGACCACTGCGGAATGGCAGGATGCAGCTCAGCTCCGTTTCATTGACAGCCCCAGATGAATAGGTCAACACAATTATATCTTCCTTTTTTTTTTTGGTTTTTTTTTTTTTTTTTTTTTTGCTGTTGGGTGAAGTAAATCCACTTGAAACCATAAGGTCAGCCAGTTGATTCCCCTTCTACAGCAGGAGCCGTGTCTGAGCTCACTGCAAGGGATGCAATCACGGCGGTGTTCCCTTGGGTCAGGGCTTCTGAGCACGGCGAGCAGCAGGAGAGAGGAGTTGGATCCTACTTTGCAGCATGGAATTGAGAGAATAAGAGGCAGATCCTATGTAGCATGCTTCCTTGGATGCTCAGGGAACGAAAGCAGTGGTTTTAACATGCTAGATTTTGGCATCTTTTCCCATTTTGCACCAGGGTGGATTAGCAATGGCTCCCCAGGAGGCGGAGCTCAGTGTGGTCCTCAGAGTGTGCGTGCATGTGGGTGAGTAACAGAGGAGCAATCCCCCCTCCGTACCGTGCCCAGGAGGTATGGGCTGGTCAGCCAGATGGAGATTTCTTTTGACAGGCTGCTGGAGGGAAATGCAAGCAATGGCATGTCTCGTTCCATATCCCTCGCGGGGCTGGACACATGGCTTGTCACTTGTCCAGGATCCAGCAGGACAGTCTGTCCTCAACCCTTAGTCACTTTTCAACAAAGCATCCGACAGAGAACCTCTGCGCTGAATTTCCATTTATATCTCAAGGGTAAATTTACCCCACCGCTACCACCATGTTTTGTGATCTCTTCGCTCTTCTGCACAAACTTTATTGTCCTCCGCCTCCTTCTGTTGTCTACACATTGCTCCTCTTCCTACACAGCACAGGAATATCCCAACCTACTCCTGGCTCTTTCTAAGCCAGAACAGCATTAGCATTGTGCTGGTGACAGGCAGCTAACATTCACCAAGGCAGCAGCGAGAGCATGTGCACAGGCTATACAGAGCATCCTTGTCTTGCCTCTCCATGCCTGGACCCAACGTGCTCCATAGAGCTAATCCATCCGTCTACCGGCCGTGAGGACTCCACCTCCGTTTCCTACGTGAAGTGCTGATTGCCCCAATGGCATGAAATGCAGGCATTAAATAAATGATTGCTGATGGCTTTCTGGCTCTGACAGTGCCTAATGCTTGGTTATTAAGCTGTCTGCCTGAATGATTTAAGCCACTAATCTTGGCTCTTCCTCGTGCTGCTGAAGCTTGCCTTAGTTAAGACCTGTGTTTTGTGCTAGCCAGCTCAGTCCCTTCCTCCACGGCTCTTCCTGCTGGAAAGGATCCACCCTCCACAGCCTGCAGAATGTTTGAATGGGATGTGAGTCCCTGTCTTCACATTGTCATGACCTGCCTGGCAGTGCCTGGCTATAAACCACAAATCCTCCATTGTGGAATTCAGAGGTGACCTGCAGGGTTACAGCCGTACGGTGCACTACAGGATCAAGATGGGTCTTGGTGGGATGGGGTGATGGGATCTTGATGGGATGGAGTGATGGGACAATGGACGAATTCTTGCACAACCCTTCCTGACAATCCTCTTGTGCATTCCCTTGGTCTGTTTGAAAAGAGAGCAGGGCATTTTGAAGCTCACAGTTACACTGTAAAAGTAAAAAACAAACATCTGCTCGTCTTTTGGACTCCTGACGTTCACTAGAAGAGCTCCGTTTCTTTGCCTTCACCCTATCTGCTCCATCGGTACTGACTTACTCCTTTGGCTTCAAGCAAGGCTCACTGCTCTTGAGTCAGATTCCTGAATAGCTGTCTGGAAGGGCCGTGCACCTATGCCAGTACATCTCTGTCTCCTGAATGCCCACGCCTTTAGGCTACAGGTTTCATGGATACCTTGTGCTGCTGCATCTGAAGACTTCTGCTTTACTGTAAAGTATCCCTTTGCAATCACACTTCTCAGGTGCTCCAAGTGTCTTCCAGGGTATTTCAGGAGGCTGACTCAGTAGGTGATGCTGTCCTGCTTGTATCACGCTGCAATCCAGTGCTGGTTACCCCAACAAAAAAGCTGTCCAGTTGGGTGGGATGAGCTTTGAAATGCTGATCTTTCATGAGCAATGCTTCCTTGATAGCCATCATGTGCAGGAGGAGATTAAGGTCAACATCCAGGTCAAATTCCAGCTCAGGTGGTGGCAGTCTCCATACCCTCCTGCCCTTTCCATCAGATTTGTCATTGCTCCATCATAAACTTGTGGGCAGCGATTTACTACTGTGCAGTCATCCGGGCTCCCATCTCTAACCTCCAGCTGCCAAGGCACAGCTGTAAATGCTGGCAGGCAGTCAAAGGCCTCAGATGAAATCTGGGGAGAGCCACGCAGCCTCGAGTCAAGGATGACCTCTCCCACATCTAAGGCCTCCCCTGCAAGGTCCTCCCAGGTCCAGTCTCCTCATTTCCAGCTCCTCAAAGGCTGTGAGAAGGGCAGGATGGGAACATATGAAGAAGTGGAGAACAGTAGGACACTCTTATTTATCTGTCCACTGTCTGAACTTCTTTCAAGATCAAAAGGAGATGATGGGTGCGAGAGCAGGAGGCAGAGCATCTGGAAACCTCCTGGTCCCAGGAGGGACCTGCTGCGGCTGCTGTCAGGGACAGGGCTGAAGCAAACGCCTTTCTCACCTCATCAGGCACGACGTCCCCTTCTTTTTGCAGATTATCATATATTGTGCAGATACAATATTTGCCATGCAAAGCTGCTATTCCTGCAAGTGATCCTCTGTCAGTGCAGAGGCTCTGGGGCTGTTGTAGAGGGAAGGAGCCGGGGGGAAGACCAGGACAGAGAAAGGGGAGCAAGACCTCTGCAGGGACACACAGCAGACTGTACAGTGATAGAAGCGTGCTTGGGTGCTCGAATATTTAACATCAAACATCCTAGGAGCTGATGATATATACAGTGACATACATCTCAGGGAACTGCTGCTTTCTCCCCTTTGTACTTTTTAGTTTTCTTTCTGAAACCTGTCAGCCTGCGGTTAAGTCCTCTCCTTTTCCTCCTGCAAACACTCCCTGCTCTATTCTGAAGTCCTCCACTTGCTCCCACACAGACCCTGTGAATTTTATAGGCATGAAGTGAGACACAGTTTTCCTGTCTTCTAGTTTTCAGGGAGCAGCCCTAAACCATCTCTCTCATTCACCGTATTTATCTACCCACGGAGAGGCTCAGAGGAGCCATGGGCAGCATGATCCAGCTCCTGGAGATGCCTTTGGCACTCTCTGCTCTGCAAGCTTCTCTGGGGGCCAACGTCACGTTATTGCCCCTGTCTTGACCCCACAATTTACACTGTTAATTGCTCTGTGGTGCTCATGGACAAAAGCCCTGGGTTTGTCCATAGCAGGAGTCTGAAACCCAGATCTCCTCCCACAAATGCATTAATTAGGAAGTGGCAGGGTGAGCTGGCGTGATACAGCTATTTCCTGGAGCTGACAGGAGAGTAGCTGAGATGGGACGTACCCGTTGTAGTTCCCGATGGCTGTGCCCTTTGCAATGCCGAGTGCCGATGGAGCGGTTAGCAGTGCAGAGCCTATTAATGAAGGAGCTTTGAGAAACGCAGAGGAGAGAGGTTTAGCCTGTAGTTTGGTCCTGTCTGGCCTAATAACTTTTCTGCCTTTCCCTTGGAGAATCTGGACAGTCAGAAGTCAGACATCTCCGCTGACTTACGCTCAGCCAGAAATAGGATTGTTAGTTGCTGCTCAGGACCTGGGGCCATTTCTTAGGGCTGAGGCTCAGGACCTACAACTGACAAATATCTCCGTATCCTAAGTTATTACTGGACACAAGAGAAGCAGGAATAACATTAGGACACACCAGGGAGAAAAAGGGCCATGTCACACTGACACTTTTTCTCACGTACCTGGTGCAGGCAAGAAAATAAGCCGTAGGGGGGTTTGTGATAAATCCAGTGACATGGCCAGCCCCTGTCCCCCTGTCCCTGCTGTGGGCATGTGCAAATGACCCACAGCAAGCCTTGGGCATCACCCCTTGGGCTCCTTCCCAGTTCCCACACCTCCTGCCATGGGAGAAGGGAGGGAAGGCAGCACTGCCGAGGTCTCCCACAGAGAAAGGAGGGAGAAGGAGTCCTCACCTTGCAGCGTTGCGGGCGTTCAAGTCCTACAAACCCTCATCGGTCTTTGTCCCTCCCTGCCACGCGCACATGCGCTCACTCCTCTCATCCGTTGGGGGAATCCGACCTTGCCAAATGCATTCCTGATTCCCTCAATATTTTTAGACACTTGCTTGGAAGCAGCCATCGCTGACTCAGGAAGTTTCCAGTCATGAATTCCAGATAATCAGACCCAATAGCAAAAGACCAGGTAAAGTTAGAAACTTGTTACTGGAAGAAAAAAAAAAGAATTAGGAGCCAAATTTATCCCTAAGCTAACGGAAGGATAAAGGGCATGTGTGAAACCTTCAGCTTCTTCAACTCTGCTGGTGCCATTCAGGGAAAGGAAATAAAAACACAATAGCTGTGTCCGTAAATATGCCGAGGCAGGGGCTTAAGAGGACACAGATTGCCTAATAAATCTTTCCATATTTCTAATCTGCCCCGGCTGACTCAGATTACATTACTGAAATGTCACGATTGCTAAGCATTAACAAGTGATAAGAACACTTTTACCACCGACACCAGACAAGTAGCAATTATGCCGCGTCCTTTTCCTCTCCCCTTTATTGTAGCTGTAACAGACTCCGAGATCCTTCCTCTGTTTAAATAAGAACTAAAAATATGTCATTGGGCAATGAAGCCAAGTGACAGAAAACATAGGGGACAAGTCCATGGACGCTATGTTTTATTAAAGGTTTTTCTTAGTGACAGAGAAGACCTCACAAAGTGCTGCACTAACATGCAGAAGATGCTGTGGCAAAGAGACCGTATCCTTGACGCTTGGTGTTTCCAAGAGGAACTTTTCGAAGGTTAGGTGCTCCAGTCCTGCCACGTTAGCTGGCGAAATGCTTTTTCAGAGCAGCAGCAAATGACGTTTGGCTTCGTGGCACCTCGCAAGAAGCCAGCCGATGCGTTTGTGTGAATTATGGACGTGTCCTGGGGTCACAGAACCTGGGAGAAAAATCATAGGGTCTTCCGTAGGCAGGGGTGGCTGGAGGGATGTCTGTTACAGAAACTGCTCCCTGCCCTCTTTCTCCTCCCGTTGTAACTCCCCGTGTGTCCCCCACAGATGGGCTGGCTGCTTTCCGCGCTTTCCTGAAGACTGAGTTCAGCGAGGAAAACCTGGAGTTCTGGCTCGCCTGCGAGGACTTCAAGAAGACCCGCTCGGCAGCCAAGCTGGCCTCCAAGGCTCAGCGGATCTTCGAGGAGTTCATCGACGTGCAGGCTCCTCGAGAGGTGGGTACGGCAGCACCCGGGGCAGGCGGAGCATCCCTGCGGTGTGGGGAGCGGGTGCGTCTCCCCCAGCTGGGACCTGTGGGGTGCTGGGAGGTCAGGAGCCCTCCCTTCCCTCCTCGAGGTGACGGTGAGGAGTGGATAAGGAGGAGGGGAATGCCATTCTGCCTGCTAGAGCTGCCTCTGCTCGTGGTGACCCATCCCCTGGTGAGGGCAACTACTCTGTCGCTACTAAATGAGTCACAGTCAGTGAGTTCACTGCCAACTACATTTCCTAACCCCTACGAGCTTCCTAGGAGTAGTGCACCTTGCTCTACTCGTTTACTATCAATCAGCAGGCGACTGAGCTCGTTTCTCGCAGGACATTGTGTATGGAAGCATCCCACGAATGACTAACCTCTTGACTCTCCAGGGAGGAATGTCTGAGTCAGTAACTCAGAGCTGAACAAAAAGTGCAGTCGCACCCCGAAGCGTGGAATTAAGTCCTCTTCCAAGGGCTGACGGGCGGATGCGACTGTCGGGGACCTGCATCGTGATGTTGGGTTGTGTTCAGCATCTGGGGGACACGCTTCCATCCCCATCGCCCTCTGTGAGCATCTTCCTGCTGTTATTCAGGAAGCTGGGTGAGATTCTCAGGACTGCAGGGCTGAATCCGGATTAGAAATGTGCGAGTAGGGTGGATGGGGTCTTTCCTAAACTTTGGTCCTGTCGCCATAATTTTGGCATGACAAAAAGTGAAACGACCCTGAAACGAGGCAGGGACCTAATCTATATTGCTGTCATCTGAGTTAAGGCAGACAGCTTTACTTTCTAGACTCCTTTAAGTTTGGATACTGTATTAATAACAACAAATAATGTCTTTTCAACCAGGTTTTAAACAAACACTGACTGCTTTGCTAGCAAAAGAAAACAGGAAAAACTCACGCTGTTGGCTTTGCAAACAAATGGCAGTCATAACACGAGGGTGGTTTATTTTTTCAAGTCCCTCCTTCCAGATATTGTAAAACGAATCTGTTGTGGGAAAAAATCAACAATTTATTTTATAAAAGGGATTAAAAATATTTAATAAGAATGTACTAATTGTTTATACTCAGCTAAAAGTTAATTTACCCTTATGTTATCATAGAATCA